TAGCTATTTTATCATAAAAAATAATAGTTGTTGTCGACATTGATAATTTTCATTAAAATACAACATATATTTTAATGAAAAGAAACAAAAATATTTTAAACCTTCTTGCTGAAATTCGAAACAAAAAAATAATAATCTCAAACAAAATAGAATACTATGAAATGAAAAGAAATAAAACACAAAAATATTAAAGAAGGGTTCAATGGAGCATGACTAAAGTAGAAAGAAATCTATATCTATATCTATATATAATATAAAGCTAGATAAAAGATCTCTTTGGCCAAGAATCCTGTTTATTTATTTTTTTCTCATTTTTTGACATTTTATTTATTTATTGTTTATTATTATTTTACAAATATGAATGTGGCAATTACTATTCCTTTCATTTATTCATATTCTTTAATATAAACTTTAATTGTCGTTATTTTCATTACTCCCATGACTTTTCATGATCATAACTCCTAAATTTTATTACTAATAGTCATGTTCATGATTTCATTTGATATTCCCTATTGTTATCCTATAAATAGAGGCATTATAAATTTTTCTTACAAAATAAACGATCAAATCTGTAAAGTATATATATGTGTGTAAAGCTCTCAAATTTGTGTTAAAGGTGATTTAAGATGATTAAGCTAAAAGAAAGGCACAAATATTCTATACTTTTTTCTTCTTCTTTTCGATCATCATAATACTATTTTGAGTTTGGTATTTATTTGATTTGATTATAGGTAGATATCTACAGAAAATACAAAGAAAACAGATGGGCTGATGATAAGAAATTGTAAACAATTCTTCTCAAACTCTCTTTTATATTTCTTTTTTTTTTTTTTTGTGTGTTTGACTAAAGAAGTTATACTCATTGATCATAAGTTTTGCTAAGTAACAAATATATGAGGTATTTAATTATACTGTTAATTATTTTTTTTTAAAGAATTTCTTTATGTTGCACCATTTGGAGAATGGAGGGGGAGGGGAGATAGAAAAGTGAAATTTTATCAGATGGGTCAAAGATAAAAATTGTAAGCAATTCTTCTCAATTTTTCTTTTATATTTATATCCCCTTTTCTTAGTATGTTTGACTATAGTGGTTATACCCAATTGATCATAAATTTTGCTAAGTGATAAACATATGAGGTATTCAATTATTCTCTTACTTTATTGTTCTAAGTTTCTTTTTTTTTTAATAAAGAATTTATGTATTTTGCAGTATTTGGAAAAGTGAAGAGGGGGGAGGGGGGGGAGTGAAATTTTATGATAAAATTTAATTCTGAACTTAAATAAATTCAATTGAAATTACAATTCATAACTGTAAAAATAATATTGTTTCATCATTTTATAGGTATAGATACCCTGATATACGAGGTGAAGAAAATGGAAAGGTGAAACAATTGATTTAAGATTAAGAGCAAGGAAATGAAAAATATATTAATTCAAAACTTTCGGTAAAATTGAATGCTTAACTATAAGAATAATATTTTTATTTCTAAATAGTCATTTTGTGATAATAATTTTATTGCCTCGATGTTACTCTAAATCTCGATAATTTTGTATTTTTTCTTTTAATTTTGTTAATTGAGAGGTAAATATCGCTCCCATGAGTTGTAGTACTTTAGATTTTGATATATTTTGGATTGTAAATTTATAAAAAATGATTGTTAATTTTATGTGTGATAATTATTTGAATTTTATCTTCTTTATTTTTGTTCCACATAAATACACTGGATATGAATCTAACAAACAAGTGATATGCTTTTTTTTCCTATTATTATTTTTCAATTAAATACATGAAATCTATAAATATTATAAAGCTAAATATAGAGAAGTAACGTGCCAACTCTTTATAACTTCCAGTTGCATTATTTGTTTTCTCTTCTTCTTAGCATTTATTCTCCCATTTCATTATATAATAATACAATAATCTCTACTTAATATTATTTTTCTTAATTATTTTAATTAAAAAATCATCTTCATAACTCATGTCATTTTTTTAATAAAATATTATATTATAATAATATTTATTAATTTTTTGACTTTAACTCACATTAACCTCCAATTGCATTATTTGTTTTCTCTTCTTCTTGGCATTTTCTTCTCCCATTTCATTATGTAATAATAATAATAATAATAATAATAATAATAATCACTATTTAATATTATTTTAATTAAAAAATCATCTTCATAACTCATATCACCTTTTTAAAACATCTTCTATTATAATATCATTAATTTTGTGGCATTAACTCACGGTTTCATCACTCATGCTCTTAATATTCTCCATTACTCATATGTTTTTTCAAGTTTATAACCCTCAATAATATTTTACTTATAAATTTTGACACTTATCATAATTTTCTCATTATGAATTTTTATATGATCTCAAATAAAAATGATATGACACATCTTATAATTCAAGAAGTTTCTTTATAATTTTTCTCATTTTTGTGATATTTTTCTTAATTTTTTCATGTATATGCTATAATATTATAAAAACTCAAAACTCACTTCCTTAACTCTCTTAAGTATATAATAAATGTGCCTATGTTAAAGTTGTGGAAACATAAAGAGGTGTTACATTGATTTTTTCCCCCAGTTTTTTAGAAGTAATATTTAATTATTTATTGCTTTAATAAAAGAAGAAAATTAAAGATTATAATAGACCATAAAGGGTCATCATATACAATATTTCAATTTTTCTATAAAAGAAAAAACATTCTATAATCTGAAATAGTTGTATAAGTGGTTTATTTACTTTACAAAATTAAAATGTATATGTGTACATATGAAAATTTTATATACTTGATTATCTAAATTTATAAAATTTTCTTTAAAAAATTTACTAATAACTTTCATAATCGCGCGAAGCGCGAACAAATTTACTAGTTTTTAAATAAGAGAGAAGGCGAGCTAAATTGTACTAGTTGGTTAAGATTAATCGTTTCCGTTACACTCTGTTCCGTCTCGTTATCTTTGCAATTTTCACGATTTCAAGTGTTATTTCTTTATATTTTGAATTTTTTTACTAAAATTCTTATCTCCGCCACGGAATAAACGTATGAATATTTTGGTACAATGATTGCCATGGGATAAGAGAACCAATGTGATTTAGCTATCCCACTCTTTAAATGAGATAAGTTAGAGCATGTTTGACATTATTGCTTAAAATTGCTTATTTTTAGAAGCATTTTTTTAAAAATGACTTTTTAAAAAAGTGTTTTTGAAAAAAAGTAATTTGTGTTTGGCTAATTCATTTGAAAAGTGCTTTTTTTAAGCAAATCGTGTTTGACTAAATCTTTTTTAGAAAAAAGCTTTTGGGAGTCAAATTACGAAAAATGGTAAGTATCAATGTACTTTTAATACTAAGATTATTTTATAGAGAGAAACTATTTTAAATATCTATTAGAATTTTTTAATGAAAATATGCATATTCAAATTTTCAATCAATATTATACATAAATAAATAAATAAAATATTAATGTAATATTAACATGATGAATTAAATATAATTCAAAATATCAAGAAAAATAAATTTAAAAACTATTCCACAAATTAAACCGCTATATACAAAAAATTCACCACAAAAATAAATAAAATCCTTCATATTTTTAACCCTACAAAAATGTTGTTGTTACATTTATTTTTGATTCTGTAAAATAAGCCGTACAATAATATATAAAATATAAAATAATAATAGTATATAAACATAAAATAAAAAAATATTATATAAACATAAAATAAAAAAATATTATATAAAATAAAAATAAAAAAAAAAATTAAAATTCTTGTATGAAACAAACCAAATTTATGATATATGTTAATTAATTAATAAGGGATATATTGTTAAATATATATGGGAGAGATATTTAGTCTTCAAGAAAATAATTTTCTGGTTTTGCTTCTGCTTTTTTTAAGAAGCAGAAATTTTTAACTTCTTTCCAACCGCAGAAAATTGCTTCTGCTTCCATTTAAAAACAGTTTTGAGAATTTGCCAAACATTATTTTTTCAAAAAAAGTACTTTTATCGAAAAAAAGAAGAAGCCTCCCAACAACAATGCCAAATAGGCTCTTAATCTCACAATTTAATGTAAAAATAATTCTAAAAATAAGTAATATCTCAAATCTAACATAAAATAAAGTTAATCTCAAATAACATTTCAAAATTATTATTAACCTTATCAAATGTATCAAACAAATCAAGAAATATGAAGTACTCTATGTGCACGAAATATGATCATTTTGAGCCTAATTTTCAAAATAGTTGAATAGTTTGGATTTTTTTGTCTAAATATTTGAACTAGAGAGGAAGCTGTGTATTAAATTCAAAGGCGGACCCACGTGTGGTGTTGAGGGTGCACATGTACCCATTAACTTTGGAAAATTACGTATATATAGGTATATATATACCTTGAGATAGACATATATTTTATTAAGTACCAAAAGATACTAAAGTCAATTTGGCTTGCGTGAAGCTTAAAAATGAGAAAATACATAATTACCCTATCAAACTTATACGCTTTTTTGAAATAGACACCTTAAATTTGTGGGGGTCCTATTACCCTACGAAACTATTTTTAAACCATCAAACTATGTTTTAAAATTAGCAAACTTATGCGTTTTCTAGAAAATGACTTTTGATTTATTTTGAGTAATTTTAATTTTAAAACATTTAACTTGCAAACATTTTTATATTTGCTTAACACCAAAATAAGTTTTAAGCTTATTTGATTATTTTTTAAGTCAATCCAAAAATCCTCTCAATTCGATAGACATTTAATTAGTAGTAGGGCTTTCCCTTTGTTTTTTCTTTGTTTGTTTTGTATATCCCCTTCCCCTTGAAAATTAATTCAGCAAAGAGATTCCTGAAAAAGAAACATAAAAATAAAAAAAAGGGGGAGAATTATAAGTAGTAATCTTATTTGGCTGTTGCGTGCACGAGATCACTATTATTAACAGAGGAGTATTTGTCCTGATTTTGATTAGTTGAACAAATACAAAAGGCCACGCAATTAATTACACACAAAGAAAATTCACACTAGTGAACCATAGTTTTCCAGTATGGAAAAAGAAAAAGGAAGAGTTCTTCTGGTTTTTGATTAAATGATAAGTCAGTGTTACAGTTATGGATTTTTGGGGGTTTCCTTTTTGAATTTAGCATAATCAGCGAGCAAATTGTTTCTTACTTTATGCTGCATACTCTCCGCCATATTCTTCATAACCTGTTAATTACCACACATATATAAAAAGTCTTTTTGGGACGAACTATAATAAGAAAGTGTGTCAAGTAAATTGAGAAACTAACTAACCGCTTGTGTGACATCTCTGTGAACATGTGGAGGGACCAAAGCAAGCATGGGAGGTGGAGCGAAGCTAATGCTCATATGGAAATGACCTTTGATCCTGCTTCTTCCTCCTTTTCTTCTATCTGGGTAAAGTACACCTTCCATGCTAAGACGGAATTCTGATGGCTTGTTTTTCCCCTCTGTTACTCCTTCTAGATCCCATTTTGTCTGCATAATAATACAATTTAATTAATAATTTATGTTGTACACATCGAGTACTCCAATCTGATCCTTAATTAATTTGAAGTATATGTACATACAATTTTGAACTCAAGAACCATAGAAGTATGGTTTGGAACGCCAGAAGGGTATTCATTTCCTTTAGTTTTGCATCTAAGTCTCATGTTAACAACTGGCCACGCTGTGAGGAACAAGAAGCCTATCGGTTCCATTTGAATTCTCCATTCTTCCTGCACCAACATACATATATTAATGTGTCATTTCAATTGTACTAAAATAGGAGTAGTTAATTACCTCGTTAAGACGTTGGGTTCCTCTGTTATCTGGGGAAATAGCTTTGAAGACTCTTGGTTTGTCCTCCATGTACCTATCGAAAGATGCCTGTGTACATAAATGCGTAATTGATCAACAACATATATATAAAAACAGAGGGTGTATATGTGAATTGTGAACGTACATGAGGGGATTCAAAGAGGGGCATGTCAGCTACAATGGTGATTTGTGAATCATAACTCTGTTGATGAGCCTTAATGGGATGGTATTTTGTACGGAATTTCTGCTTTGATGGACTCAACACTAGTACTCTATTTCTCTCGAAAAATTGAAAGCCTCTGCTTCTGATTCTGCCAGGCTGCAACGTCGCACAAATAGAGGGAACTGTCACTGCCACAACACTTATATTCATGATCGACTAGTTGATAATTTGAGTTTTAAAACCTCTTTCAATTTTGTAGAGCTAAATACACTCTTCTTTCTTCTTCTTCTTTTATGAAAAGGGAAATTCTTTGCGTGCATTTTGAGAAACGGCAAGCGTATATGCACTGTGTTGGGTTCGTTGTCGTCCCTCTTTAGGTATTTGTTGTTTAGACGCCATCTACTTCACTACTTGATTGTGTAATTGACCTACCCATCTTCTTTTACAACTAAACATTTCCATGTTATTCCACCTGTATAATTGTTAGATACTCTGATTTTTCTATACAGAAGATTATTTTCCGCAAAGGCAATTTATGTATTTTCCTTTTAAAATATCATTGACAAATGACAACTTCTAACTTTTAAACTGAATGAATTACTAAAATATATTTCCTATAATGTTATAACTTATACCAGTGGTAGTTTTCTTTTTGTTTACTCTATTCGGTAAAAACTTAAAATTCCAGAATCTTACCTAAGCTACTACCAAGTGTTTGAGCCAATATTTTTCGTAGGGAATTCAAAATATGAAAAAGTAAACACAAAAAAGTTAAAGATAATTCAATATTTACTATATATATATATATATATATATAAACTATTTTTTATCATTTATAAATGGTGTATTTTTTTGACGAAGGCCAACATCTCTACTTGGCTTATCCCCTACTAATACCCCTGAAATTACTTTTTTCTAATACCTCTACACTAATTATCTGGTTAGAAAAAAGTTACTGTAGAACATATCACTTGTATACATATGCCAAAAGTAGATTTTAAAAAAAAGAGAGGATTTTTAATGTCTTTTACTTAATTCTTTCATATTCAAATTGATTAGAACCTTAAAAGGACTGAGACTTGAAAGATAATGAGTTCTAATATAATGAACATATGAGTAGTTTCGTACAATGATTGTCACGTGGATAATATATTTCATTTGAGATAACTAATCTCAAATCAAACATAAATTAAATCAATCTCAAAAAACATTCTGAACCAATTAACCTTATCAAATGTATCACACAACCTATTACACAACTTTGTCAAGAAATGTGAAGTACTTTATATGCACGAAATATGTCATTTTGAGCCTAAATTTTGAAATAGTTGAAAAGTTTGGACTTGTTGGCTAAATATTTTAACTAGAGAGGAAGTTGTGTAATATTTAGAAATTGGACGCGGATTTGGCCTTGGTTTGCGGAAGAAAAAAGGACACGGAGTAGGTGGCACGACGCCGTTTTGTTTCCTCTAAGATATAGGAGGATTTGTTCAGATCAAGATCTGAATAATCGGAATTCAAGAATTTTAGAATCCCTGCAAAAATGTCTTACTACCCGAAAGGCCACCACGATGACGACGGCGCTGAATTTGATGAGTACGATCCAACTCCTTATGGTGGTGGATACGACATTGCTTTGACTTACGGTCGCCCACTTCCGCCATCTGAGGAAACCTGTTATCAGCCTTCCTCAGCTTCTGATGAGTTCGACTATGATCGTCCTCAGTACACTTCCTATGCTGAACCTTCTGCTTATGGTGATGAGGCTCTTGATAATGAATACCAGAGTTATTCAAGGCCCAAGCCTCGCCCCACTCCTTCCTATCGTCCATCTGAGGAAAGTCATACTTATGAGCAGCCTCAAGCTGATTATGGGTTTCAGCCTGGGGTGAATCGCCCTGGCGGAGAAAGTGAGTATGGACGGAAGAGTGAGTATGAAGAAGATCCCACACGAGAATATGGATCTGGGTATGGAAGGAAGAGTGAGTACAAAGAGCCAAGTTCCGAGTATGGATCTGGGTATGGGAAGAAGAGTGAGTATGAAGAACCCACTCAATATGGATCTGGGTATGGCCGGAAGAGTGAGTATCAAGAGCCAAGTTCTGAGTATGGGAGAAAGAGTGAATATGAAGAACCGACTCCCCAGTATGGAAGGAAAAACGAGTATGAAGAACCCGCTTCCGAATATGGATCTGGGTACCGGAAGAAGAGTGAATATGAGGAGCCAAGCTCGGAATACGGGTCGGGTTATGGGCGTAAGAACGAATCCGAAGAATACGGATATGGCAGGAAGCCTAGCTATGGTCAAGAGGAAGGTGAGAGGCCCAGTTATGGGCGTCCAAGCTACCAGGCTGATCAGGAGGGCGAAGGGTACGAGAGGCCTCACTATGGAAGGTCCGAGGAGGAGGACTACAGGAAGCCCAGCTACGAGAGGCGTGGTGATGACGATGAGGGCTATGGTCGCAAGAAATATGTGAGTACTCAATCTCTCTTTTTTGTATTAATTGATTTTTTAGCACTTGATCTTGATCCTTTTAGGTTTACCTATTAATTCTTGAAATGTTTGATATCTATTGCCTAATGGAAATACTTCAATTTACAAGTGATTAAACCGAACGATCATTTGATGATGCTCAGTAGTAAAAAAATGCGATTACATGAACAAAGGAAACCTTTGATAGTGTGGCAACAAACATATAAGGCGATCCTTTTGATTTTGATAGAAAATGCTGCTGGTAAGATTAATAGTTCTTCACTTAGCTCATTAATTTGTGTTCACTCTCAGGCTCGTTTGGTTTTGGAACAAGTTATTTCAAAATTAATTATCCGAGATTTTTATCCCACCCTCAATGTGGGGATCAAAATAACATTATAATCCCAAAATAACTAATCATGTGATAAATTATCCTACGATTTAATCCCAACCAGACATGGAATAAACTCATCCTAAAATTAATCCAATGATTGGTCATGCCTCGTACCAAACAAGCGCTTAAGTCTTAATCCACACTTCTCGCAAAAGAAAGTGAAGAACAACAATGGGGTTAGGGGCAGGCACATATTGCCGTATTGTGAACTACGAAAACCTTAAGGGTCGTTTGGTAGAGTGTATAAGAACAATGTAAAATAGGGTGCATTAGTAATGCTTGCATTAGTAGTGCCTGCATTAGTTATGTAAACATTATTTCTTGTACATTATTTGGTTTGATGTATTAGAAATAACAAATCTTGCATAATTTCTATTAAAAAATATATGTTTACAAAAATACCCTTCATATTTTATTTATTTGTACACTTCCTTTGCAACAAAGTTCTTTGCTAAAACATCAAAAAAAAAAATCTTTGCTAAAACGTCATTAAGTCTTCTTCTTCTTTTTTAAAAAAATAATATTAAATAGTTGTACTATTGCGTCAAAATATTTTTGTGAAAAGTTGGCAATTTTATTTTTTAAAATTTATTGTCACAATAGTAAAATTTTTGATTAAATTATATTGAAATTAGATTTTAAAAAAAAGAGATACTTAAGAGGCCATAAAACCTATTAAGACACGAACAAATTAAAAGACACTGGAAAGCAAATCAAAATAAAAACAAAAACTTATGACAACAAAGAAAATAAAAATGCTTCAAGGGTAGTTTTATAATTATTTAATCTAATGCTAGTGTTAAAATGCTATGTATTACTAATACTTAGAATTTCTTGGTACTAGTAATACACAACTTAATACACAATAGAGTGTATAACATTAGTTATACATGGCATGAAAAAGTGTACCAAACAAGGTACTACTAATACACACCTAATGCATGCAGTGGCGGATCTATGCAGAGGTTTGGGGGTGACACGCCACCCCCGAATTTCGACGGAAACTCTATATATACATAGGTATATATATATAATATTTATATAAATATAAAGCGTGCCACCCACAGAACAAAATTGTCTTGTGGTGCCATGGTAGGAGGGCAACTTTAGAAGGCTGATGTTGCGGGTTCGAATCCCATTTGTACCTATTTTTTTGAGAAATTTGATGCAGACGTTTTTTAAGGAAAAAAAAAGGCTCCAAGCACTGGCACAATTTTTATTTTTATTTTTTTATAATTGTTATTGACTTAAATTAAATTAATTACATTATTACTCCTTTGACTTTTCTTTTATTTGATTAAATACTCAATAAAAGTGTAATATCTTATTATTTACATTTTATTGATTGATTTATGATATATATCGAAAAGACAAATAATTTAATTAAATATAAAATTAATTTAATCGATAAGTCTATTTGACACCCACGGACTCTAAATCCTGGATCCGCCACTGAATGCATGCATTATATTTCCTAATACACTTTACCAAATGACCCGTGTTAAAGACATGTCTCTGATTGTTAAGTCTGTTATGATTAGAGTTAAGTTTTTGAAGTTCTTACAATTGAATCCATTATATATGTGAAATTGCTGGTGACAATTTATGCTGCAAATAGGATAAATATATTTGTCACAACTCAAATTGTCATAATTAGTACCTTTTGGAGTTATTTTCGCAATTAAAGGGGCTGACAAGGGTGGATCGATACATTCACATTTTTTTGCATTTAAAATGCCCTCTAAATTTTATATCACTGAACCAACTCTTAAACCACTATCCGGTTTTCCAAAACACTGCCAAGGAATACAACCCCAAGAAATAATCTTACCCAATAACCCTGTCAAATTCAAACGGTTGTCTTCCATTTTTTATCCACCCCAATATTTTATCCACTATATTTCTGCCAGCAATATTCTTGTTCCAATCTTTTTGTCTTCTAGTGTTGTTTCTTAATTCCATTCTTCTTCATTTTCAACATCTGATTATTTTTTTTCCATCTCTCCTTTTTGTTCATAAATTTCATCTCACGAGCTAGTATGCCTATGCTGTTTTTAAGGGGAAAAAAATAAGGTATATACTTTACTTGACAAAAATGTGCAAAAATAACCATTGAAATTGGTGGAAGCTTGTACCGAAAATATGGTAGGTATGAGGATGCAGTTGAAGCTTTAGAAAGTTAGAATGTTTGCATAGATATAGTGAAATTATCTGAGAAATCATCTCGTAATTCAATAGTGGATGAAAAGAAACTAATATTTAATGAGCAACACGTCTATGTTTGCAATAATTTTGGCTGGAGTAGTTTTTGGAAAATTATTGAAACATTAATTTGCCAAGTAAATTATTTGGGTGATTTTTCGAAAAGTAAATGGAATGTTCTTTAGCCCTCAATGCCTAGCTCGAGTGGCA